AAAGGAAGAGGTGCAAACGAGAAAAACAAATATCTTTCACGTCTTTCTTCCTTGAGCTTTGCCGCAACATAACAAGAGGGGCTTCACAATAAACAACCTTGAAGTAGAATGTAAAAAAAAAAAAAAAAAAAAAAAAAAAAAAAAAAAAAAAAAAAAGAAAACAAAAAAAACAAAAAAAAAAAAAAATAAAAAAAAAAAAAAAAAAAAAAAAAAAAAAAAAAGAAATAAAAAAAAAAAAAAAAAAAAAAAAAAAAAAAAAAAAAAAAAAAAAAAAAAAACAAAAAAAAAAAAAAAAAAAAAAAAAAAAAAAACAAAAAAAAAAAACAAAAAAATAAAAAAACAAAAAAAAAAAAAAAAAAAAAAAAAACAAAAAAAAAAAAAAAAAAAAAAAAAAAAAAAAAAAAAAACCAACGCAAACTTAAGACTGCAACTTAGTAGCGACAAAGCTATGCGACACAGTGCTCAACACCAATTTTGAGAAACATATCTCAAGAGCGGTGGCCACGCTTTTTCCCCCGCTAGCAAACGAGTTTTGCAAATATCTTTTTGCAGTTTTGATTGGGGCAATTGAAATTGGATCAAAAACTGAAACAAACCTGTTGATGGCCGAACCAGCCACCATCCAACAAATCCGACACAGACCTTGGCTGAAACAGCCAGTTGGAATACCAAGCCGACTTCAGCTTTGGCAAAGTCATCTTTGGCCCCTCTTTCTGAATATGCAACATGGGCGGCCCACGAGATCCCCACTTGCTGTATTTCAACTGCTGAAACAGCTTTTGGAGCCCCGAAGTTCCAACTATCCATATTTGGACTAAGCGCAGATCTCTTTCAGCTTGCTTGATTCAAAGGGCCCGTAGCACTACAGTGTGCACAGCTGGCTGATTCTGAGTCAGCATTCTTGAGCTGAAACAGCTGCAGAAGGAAACACATTGAAATTGAAATGTGTGAGCTTTTTTTAAAAAAAATCGTTGTTGCACCTGTTATAAATCAATTGCTGTTTGCTGAACGGAGTCTACAGGGAGGTTGCTGCCGCAACGCATGTTTATCCACTTGTCATTTTTTTGCATCTCACATCCGACTTTGAAGACAGCACCACACCGCAGTCTATGTGGCTAAGATCCCGGCCCTTTCCAGCTGATCTGACTTTGGTCGATGCCGCGGTGGCATACTTGTGGCCAAAGCAGCCACCAAAAGCCGAAGCAGCTAAGTGGCCGAAGCAGCTACAGTGGCCGGGACGGCTGCCGCCTCTTTGGCGTAGAGATGGTGTGGCCAGTTTTACGTGAAGTGCTTGAGCCGAGGCTCCTGAAGGGAAGCGGATCTCAGACATGCTCCTAAGGAGAGGACAATTCGTCCTGTCTTTAGGAGGTTCAAGGACGACCCCGAGGCTCCTAAGGAGATGACAACAAGAGGACAAAGGCCTTTGAAAAACTCATATTTAAGAGATTTAAGAGTATTTCAGTTTCGTCCCCTTGTCGTCTCCTGCCCTTAGGAGGTTCAAGGACGTCCCCGATGCTCCTAAGGAGAGGACAATCCCACCCGTTGATTCGAGGTCCGTTGAATTTTTTTTGATGCTCCTAAGGAGAGGGCAAAAAACACATATTAAGTAGCCAAGCCTGTCTCCAAATCAAATCTTTCGTTGGATCTCCCAATCTTTGTGGGTAATCATCTCTTAGATTCAACCGATTGGTAGATTCCATGTAGCGACCAGAAACCCAAAATCTTTACCCTGACGCTTCAACCCACCCAAGCCAATTCCTACTTTTTCGAAAAGTCCATCACGACCTGCTATGTACAAAAACTAACTAAGTTAGTGATGCAGCTTCAAAGTGAGAAGTTGGAACAGCGTCAAAACAAGCCAAAGCAGCTTTGACAGCCGGAAGCAGCTTGCCTAATGCTGCAAGGGCTTGGCTGAAACAGCTGCCGCGAAGGCCGATGCAGCCTCGCTTGAGGTCAAAATTTCACCGCAAGCAGGAGCCGAGTCTGACGCAGGGCCGAAACAGCCCTCCTCGCTGCGTGGACATGCTGAGCCGAAGCAGCCGAACGGCCACCACTCTCCTGAAGCCAATGTCTGACTGCTCCAGAGCTCGCCTTTGTCCCCTGATGCTTTGGGAAGCAATTTTTGCATGTGAATGGGCTTTGTGATTTCATCGTTTGCTCAGACGCTTGTCAATCCGCTTTGGCTAGAACCGTGCAGTCAACACCCCATGGTGTGCGCAACCAAGTTCCCAGCTCTGGGTAATGACATGAAATACGGAACTGCGAGCCACATTTCAATCCCAAGACAACCCACTTGGATCGAAGCCATCTGCCATTGCAAAAGCAGCAATGCTGCTGTCGTGTTTGACAGCTACTGACCCCAATTGCAAACGAGAAATAAAAATAAACCAGCAAGAATTTCAATTACCTCTTCAGCTGCCTCGACGAGAAAAATTGAAAGAGCACATGGAAAGTGAAAAAAGTATGTAGACGTATGAATTTTGAAAAGGAAAGGACAGGGGAAACAAACAACATGTTCCGTACATGTCTTCGATGTCACAAGTTAGGGTTGCAAAGGGTATTCCAAATCAGTCATTGTTGAAGCAAATGAGATTCTCAAATAGCTTAGCTTCACAAAAAAATGCAAAACATATCTCAGGTCACCCAAAAAAGAAAATACAAAAATACAGCTAAATATGAGCAAGAAAAGTGAAATCAAGTGGTTTGAAAACGGCACGGTGGTTCTTGGGTTAGCCACATCCCATCAAGGAACCTTGATATGAACATTGAAGCAGGTACGTCACGGTGATCAGCCGTGATATCCGCATGTACTGTGGCCGCTTCGTTGGACCACCGCCCACAGTACATGGATGGCCCCCCTGCAGTTTCAATTTGACTATCGTTTGCACAACCGACCCTAAAAGACAAAATCCGCATAGAAGTTTTACATCTCTTCAGATGGTTCACACACACACACTTACACTTCTTTCACCAACAACACTTTTACACGGAACTCTTTCGACATGCATTTCTTGTGCGCACCGATCCTCCACCATCTCTTCTCTTTTTCCTGCCTTTCCCATTCCATTTCCACCTCTCCCCGGCTGCTTTTTGGAAAAGGTTGACATGTGGGGTTGCGCATTTCTTGCAGTCACTTGTCTGTCTGAGCTACTTCTGCTGTGACCTGCCTCCTGTAGCTTCTGCAACCCAAGTCTTCTCTCTTCGCGCAGCTGTTAGAATGTATTTAGCAACCCCCAGCTGTCGAGCCCTCCCTACAGTCTTGGGCACTTTTTGCCGACCTGATCTTCCAAGAGCGCCCCGGTGCCCTCAATGTTTCTTTAATATATCGACATATTTTGACATGAAAACCGAGCTCTCGCCACAGTCCTGTGCACTTTTTGTCGCCAACTTTTACAGATCGAGGCCCGAAACCGCGGAAACAGAGAGCCTACTTCCACGACCGCAGAAGCCCGTTTACCCGAAAAAACGCTCAATTTCGCGCCCGAAAGTGTTTTCACCCGTGAGCTTGCACGCTTCCGAATCACATTTCCCAAATACTTCATGATGGGTGGTTGACATGATGATGTGGTTGACGTGATGAGACATGAACATGATGACAAGACTGCCCCGGGACATTCGTCCGTAACTCGGAAGTTTCCGAACTAAACTTCCTGAAGCGTGCCCCCAACGAGAAGCAATGCTTTGAGGCCCACTCTGCAACGAAATTGCCACTGATCTACGCGAAATAGAAGGTCAAGCAATCCGGCGAAACCGGCGATTAGCGTCAGCCCTATATTAAAATCCGGCGATGCCTTCAATTGAAAGAATTTTAGCCAATACAACACTGAGAAAAAGCGCGCAGGGGTAACAACCACAACCACAACCACAACCACAACCATAACGACGACGACGACGACAACAACAACAACAACAAACAACAAACAACAAACAAAAAAACAAACAAAAAAACAAACAAAAAACAACAACCAACAACAACAAACAACAAACAACAAAAAACAAACAACAAACAACAACCACCACCACCAACAACAACAACAACAACAACAACGAGAAGCACAACCAAAAACCAACAACCAACAGCCAACGACACACAACAAACAACAAACTGCAAACAGAAAAACCACAAACAACAAACAATTAAAAAAAAACGCAACAAACAACAAACAACCAACAGCCAACAACCAACAACCAACAACAACAACAACAACACCAGCACCACCACCAACAACAACAACAACAACCAACAGCAACAACAACACCAGCAACAACAACAACAACAACAGCAACAACAGCAACAACAGCAACAACAAACAAACAACAAACAAACAAACAAACCAACAAACAAACAAAACAAAACAAAACAAAAAAAAACAAAACAAACAAACAAACAACAAAACCACCATACCAACCACCCAACCACACAACCCACCTACCCAACCACCCACCCACCCACCCACCCAACCACCCAACCAACCAAAACCACAACCACAACCACAACAACAACAACAACAAAAACAACAACAACAACGAGAAGCACAACCAAAAACCAACAACCAACAGCCAACAACACACAACAAACAACAAACTGCAAACAGAAAAACAACAAACAACAAACAACTAGAAAAAACACAACAAACAACCAACAGCCAACAACCAACAACCAACAACCAACAACAACAACAGCAACAACAACAACAGCAACAACAACAGCGACAACAACAACAACAACAACAACCACAACAACAACAACAACGACAACAACAACAACAACAACAGAGCAAGCAGGCGACATTCTGGGCAACAGCAACAACCTTTGGGCCATCGCGATACTCTATATACTCTAATCTACCCTACCCTACTCTTTTTTACTCAACTCTACCCGACCCTAGCCTACCACACTAAACTCTAGGATGCTCTACGCTCCTTTCCTCTCCTTTCACCTCCCCTCCTCTCGCCCTTGATCACCGACCGTCGTCGTTCATTCACAATTCTTACCGAGCCTGGAACTGCGAATTTGAAACCGCGGTGCTCTGCGTGCTCGGAGGCGTTTTTTCCGCTTTGCAGGGAAGACTGCCAGAAGGACTTGAATAAGTAGGGTATGGCTCCGAACCTGAAGCTCTTTGATGACTCCTTGGGCACTTGGACGCAGTGTAGCGAAGACTGCTTGGATCAGCGCCCGCCATGTCGCACAAAATTCATCAAAATTCATCAAAATTCGCTGCGTCAGCTACTGGGCCGGACTTCCCGGATTGCCGCATACTGAAGCCAAGGCAAGGAGGATCCATGCGGCCGTGAAAAATCAACAGCTCAGAGAACCCCTTTATTATTCAAAAAACCTTTGGTTGGAGAACACCTCAGGCTTGAATAGGTCGCATCACTCCGGATCAATTGAATAGGATTGAGATTTTGGACACAAAGTGGCTCAACAGGGGCCGAAGAACTTAGCAAGAAACATGGACAATGACGCAGCTGCCCGTGCGTGGCCTTCCTGCCACCAGGCGCAGAGCTACAAAGTGAAAGGGTGCCCAACAGTCCCATTGACTCCTGGCAGCCACAAAGAGACACAGCGGCAGAGTAGCACCAAAGTGAAGTCCCCACAGCGTCCTTGATCGGTCATGATCCCACGGGTACAGTATAATTAGGTCAGTCAAGATTACTTGGAGTAAATGAGCTAACTCTTTTTTTAAACATTTGTGAAAGAAGTTTGGAGGTTGTTAAATTAACTTTCAAGGTTGGAAAAAACTATGAAATTAATTTTTGATGGTAAATTTCAAATGTATTTTGAAAACTCTGTTTTTTGTCACATGTATATATATATACATACATAAATACATATATATATATATATGTTTGTTTGTTTCTTTCTTTCTTTCTTCCCCCTTTCTTTCCTTCTTTCTTTCATTTCTTTTATTTATCCACTGGTTTTTTGATTGGCTGAACTGCATTTTCCTTTTTTAAAATATGTGCTTGATCTTCTCTTAGGGTTACTGTATATGTGCTGCTGGCATGTGCATGGGTTTACTTCGTTTGTTTTGACAGGATAACATGTATTTCCTTTGTGACAAATCTATGTGAAGGTCATGAAAGAAAACGCATGTGGTCATTCCTCTGCAGCAGCCAGGACATGGGGGCTACTTGCTTGTATCTGGGTTACTTTGTTTCGAGCTACCTTCATTGTATCTGTGAATATTGTGGGTCAACCCTTTTTCGCACAATGTGATTGCAATGTTTGATGGTTCTGGTTCGTGTGAATTTTTCAATCAGCGACAATGAACAGTAAAATCACACATGAGGCAGCCACACATGGGTGTGGGAACATGAATGTACATGTGGCATTAATCTTTCCAACCTGTCAGCTGTGCTCTGTTAAAAAATTACACATGAAACAAATGATAGTCAAATCTAAAATCTAAAGCAGTTCAAAGAGCCCTCAACCATGGTTGTGGGTGTTTGTGCGCGTTTTCTCCAAGCCTTTGGCTAGCATGCATTCGGCTTAGCATGAAGAATGATGCGTCAGTAAATGGTTTAGGGCTATTTCGGGCATGTTTTTTTTCCCGGCCCAAACAAATGGTTGCAACTTTGTGGGGTTTTAACTTTTTGCTCCACATCCGCCTCCTCGTCCTCCTCCTCCTCCTCCCGCCGCTGTCTCCTCCCGCGGTCTCGATCCTCTTGTCTCTATCAACTTGCCTCTTATCAACTTGCTCTATCAACTTGTCTCTATCAACTTGTCTCTGTTCACTTGTCTCTATCAACTTGTCCGCGCCGATCCGCCCATGATCCCGGTTCAAACGAACGTGTTCCGCAGCTGTCCGCAGGACAAGCTTCCCCATCCATCTTCTGGGACACGTTTTGTCCTGCAAAACACAGCATGTCGTGGATTTGATATCTCTCAAAAACGCAGTTCGTGCGAGGCATCCCTCAAAAAGTGACAGTTGAAGATGTGAAAACGAAGCTTTCGTGGAAGACTTCCCTCAAAAGATGATAGTTGAATATGTGAAAACGAAGCTTTCGTGCGAGGCTTCCCTCAAAAAGTGACAGTCCAAGGTGTGAGATGTCTTTGTTGTGAGATTTCTTTGCTGTAAGATCTCTTGGCTGTGGGATCTCTTGGCTGTGAGCTCTTTTGGCTGTGAGATCTCTTGGCTGTGAGATTTCTTGGCTGTGAGATCTCTTGGCTGTGAGATCTCTTGGCTGTGAAATCACTTGGCTCTGAGATCTCTTGGCTGTGAGATCTCTTGGCTGTGAGATCTCTTGGCTGTGAGATCTCTTGGCTGTGAGATCTCTTGGCTGTGAGATCCCTTGGCTGTGAGATCCCTTGGCTGTGAGGTTTCTTGGCTGTGAGATCTCTTGGCCGTGAGATCTCTTTGCTGTGAGATCTCTTTGTCTGAGATCTCTTGGCTGTGAAGTCCACTGCAGCAATCTGAATTAATCTGACAATGTTTGACACATATCCACTTCCTTTTTTTTTATGCAGGGCTTATTCCTCTGCCCTGCATTGGTAGTCAGGCGCTTTGCCTTGGCAAAAATGAAAAGCTCGTTCCTTTCCGAACCCTGGGTGCTCAAAATGCTGCTGCGTCCAAAAGAGGTGTGCTGAGGTGTGCTGGAGAACACAAATCACACACGCGCACATACTCTGTACAAGTGTGGATATACTTGACAGATCTTGGCAGTAAACACATTACAGATCCATGCGGATTCAGTATCGACAGTATCGATACGTACAAATCAAAAGCAATCATTACCTCTATACATGGATTCCTAGGGATGTGATGGGATGTGATACTTCGACATCTACCTGTCTTTCCAAATCTGGGCTTCGCAGACTTGTACAGATGCATAATATCCAACATTTTAATTACAACTTCTTTGCCGTAGACATCAAAGTTCATCAGAATCAGCAAGCACGTCTGGGCAGGGTCACGAGCCAAAACATCGAAGGACTGTTGCAAGAGTGGAGTGAAAGCGTGAGAATGCTGTAACGCGAATCATGAGAAGCTTTCTGTCGACCTGCCATTGAAGCGGATGAGCCCAATTTTGCCACAGTTTGGTCGCAAGTGGTGCAGCTTCCAATGGTTTACGTTGCAAAGCCAATGCTATCTGATGCTATCCTCATAGATCACAAGATCACACGGCACGCATCGCCCCAGTGCCTGCAGTTGGATGAAGATGCCACCCCTGGCACTGCTGCCAGGCCTTGCGGCGCTGCTGATTGCCACTGGGGCCCGAACAGTATTAGGAAGTCATTATTCGGTACTTCAACGACTTCGCATCACTTTCGTGGATGCAAGGCATACGCAACTCAAGAAAAGAACTATAAATGGAAGGTCAGGGCTTTGGGCGGTTTCGGTTTGTGTTGTTTTTCATTTTGTCATCTGAATGAATTCTACAGGCTGAAGGCACGCCCATATTTCCGAGTTGGGGCAAAGGAGCCTTTATCTGTTCTTCTTCTCAGCATCTCGTGAAAATTACCATCAAGACTGGGCCCTAGCCTGGGAGTTGGACTCCCCCTTACATAGTTGCAATTTGATCCGCTGTCAAGCATGTCAAACCTTGGAGCTCAAAAACAGCGTGCCACGTGCTATCAATAGTCAACCAGCACAAAAAGAATTCTGCCAAGTCAATATAGTATCCTAAAAGTACCCAAGAAGTTTACATGGAGTAGAGGCAGGCGAGATAGTTAGTTCCAATGATCTATTCCAACAAATTCCAAACTGCCACATGTCTAAAATCTTAAATAATACCACTAGTACCCGCACAAGACGGGGCGGAAGCTGCCTTAGGGATTTACTATAAGACATTTTTCATCTATAGAATTTGCATGCGCCGTGCGCCAGCCAGGCCCGTGCGTGCGTGCTTTGTGCGAAGCTGTTGCACAGATGTTGTCCAAGAACATGACCTGCGCACGGCCCCGGCGCAATCCAACGCCAAGCAAACACTTTCCTCACACTTCACAGTACACGCTTCACACCCTGCACTTCGCACTTCACACTTGCACTTCTCACTCGACACTTCATCTCACCTCAAATCAGGTGAGCTCTTCTCACCTCATCTCAGCTCTTCTCATCTCATCCCATTTCTTCTTACATGTCATCTAAGTAAGTTCTTCTCAACTGTTTTCATCTCATCCGAGCACTGATCAACCTTTCTCATCTCCTCGAAGTTCGCCTCAACTCATCTCAGCTGTTCTGCACGCCAGCAAGCTTTTACTGTGAGAGAGAAGTCTCTTGCACACACACACACAAACCATTGGGCGCAGAAAGCTTTTGCACACAGAAACTTGAGACACAGATGCATTTACACAGAAAAGCCTCTCCAAAATACTTTGAACCACAAAGCTTGCACGAAGCACTTCCCAGTACTATTTTGCCCTACAAAGCTTGCACAAAGCACTTCCCAGTACTACTTTGTACTACAAAGCTTGCACAAAGCACTTCCCAGTACTATTTTGTACTACAAAGCTGACACAAAACACGTTCCCGTACTACTATGTACTTCAAAGCTTGCACAAAGCACTTCCCAGTACTACTTTGTACTACAAACCTTCCGCAAAGCACTTCCCAGTACAACTTTGTACTACAAGCAATCTGCTGTTTTGTCACCCGGAGCCCACGTCGTGTGCGGCGAAGAACGAAACGCCTTGAGCGCCGGCCTAAGCCCTAGGTGCTGCGGCCACTGATCCTTCTCCGCCCTTCGAGCTGTCAATTTGTACTACAAACCTTGCGCAAAGCACTTCCCAGTACAACTTTGTACTACAAAGCTTGCACAAAGCACTTCCCAGTACTACTTTGTACTACAAAGCTTGCGCGAAGCACTTCCCAGTACTACTTTGTACTACAAAGCTTGCACAAAGCACTTTCCAGTACAACTTTGTACTGCAAAGCTTGCACAAAGCACTTCCCAGTACTACTTTGTACTAGAAAGCTTGCACAAGGCACTTCCCAGTACTACTTTGTACTACAAACCTTGCGCAAAGCACTTCCCACTTCCCAGTACTACTTTGTACTACAAAGATTGCGCGAAGCACTTCCAAAGCACTTTCCAGTACAACTTTGTACTACAAAGCTTGAACAAAGCACTTCCCAGTACTACTTTGTACTACAAAGATTGCACGAAGCATTTCCCAGTACTACTTTGTACTACAAAGCTTGCACAAAGCACTTCCCAGTACTACTTTGTACTACAAAGCTTGCACAAAGCACGTTCCAGTACTACTTTGTACTACAGAGCTTGCACAAAGCACGTTCCAAGTGCTACTTTGTACTACAAAGCTTGCACAAAGCACTTCCCAGTACTACTTTGTACTACAAAGCTTGCACAAAGCACTTCCCAGTACTACTTTGTACTACAAAGCTGACACAAACACGTTCCAGTACTACTTTGTACTACAAAATTTGCACAAAGTACTTCCCAGTACTACTTTGTACTACAAAGCTTGCACAAAGCACGTTCCCAGTACTATTTTGTATTACGAAGCTTGCACGTTCCAGAACTACTTTGTACTACAGAGCTTGCACAAAGCAGTTCCCAGTACTACTTTGTACTACAAAGCTTGCACAAAGCACTTCCCAGTACTACTTTGTACTACAAAGTTTGCACAAAGCACGTTCCAGTACTACTTTGTACTACGCAGCTTGCACGAAGCACTTCCCAGTACTACTTTGTACTACAAAGTTGCACAAAGCACTTCCCAGTACTACTTTGTACTACAAAGATTGCACGAAGCATTTCCCAGTACTACTTTGTACTACAAAGCTTGCAAAAAGTACTTCCTAGTACTGCTGTGTACTGCAAAGCTTGCACAAAGCACTTCCCAGTACTACTTTGTACTACAAAGATTGCACGAAGCATTTCCCAGTACTACTTTGTACTACAAAGTTTGCACAAAGCACTTCCCAGCACTACTTTGTACTACGAAGCTTGCGCAAAGCACTTCCCAGTACTACTTTGTACTACAAAGCTTGCACAAAGTACGTCCCAGTACTAGATTGTGATACAAAGCTGGTGCAAAGAAAGCTATTACACACAGCAAGTTCTTTCGCAGAGAAGAATTTACACACAGCAAGCTTCTTAAACAGAGAAGCTTTTACACACAGCAAGCTTTTACACAGAGAAGCTTTTACACACAGCAAACTTTCACACACAGCAAGCTTTCACACACAGCAAGCGTTTACACACGCACAGCAAGCTTTTTAAACAGAGAAGCTTTTACACACAGACAAGCTTTTACACACAACAAGCTTTTGCACAGAGAAGCTTTTACACACAGCAAGCTTTCACACACCCCAGCAAGCGTTTACACACAGAACACTTACACACAGGGCTTTTTTACACATGGCAAGCGTTTACACACGCACAGCAAGCTTTTTAAACAGAGAAGCTTTTACACACAGAGAAGCTTTTACACACAACAAGCTTTTGCACAGAGAAGCTTTTACACACAGCAAGCTTTCACACACCCCAGCAAGCGTTTACACACAGAACACAACTTACACACAGTGCTTTTTTACACATGGCTAGTATTTACAGTCGCAGCAAGCTTTTTAAACAGCGAAGCCTTTACACACAGAGAAGCTTTTACACACAACAAACTTTTAGACACAAAATCTTTTACACCCAAAATCTTTTACACACAGCAAGCTTTTGCAGAAAAACGCATTTACACAGAGAAGCTTTCTTGTACATAACCACAACAGGAATTGCAGCTCCAAAACCGGATATCTCGACACCAAAGCGAAAAAAAGACGATTTTGAAGCACTTTTTAAAGGGAATTTCAAAAGGAAAAAAATGCTTTGTAACCAGGGTTCAGGTTTGTAGCCAGGGTTCAGGGTTTTTGGGTGGTGTAAAGTAACCACCAAACAGCTCACAGCATATATCAACCCACACAACACAACAATACCGAAACAAGAGCAAACATAGTTCACAACGCACCCCATTGATCCCAAGAGCACAGAGCACCTTTTTCATTGCTCACCCATGGCAAGCACACTTGTCGTCCAGCATTTGTTGTTGCTTAAGACACTTCTTCCAAAACCCAGCAAAACCTAATACCCTAGCAAGTCCTATGACTCCACCTCATTGTCGAGTTCTTCCATTTCCTCAGATTCTGCTTCTTCTCCATCATGAGCGTCATCCTGTCCATCATCATGTTCATCACTCGGTTCGCATTCTGCTTCACCATCCTGATGCTTCTCTTGTTTCTTTGCTTCTTTCTTGGCTTCATCAAGCAGCGCATCCTGCAGTTACAGGCAGCCATGTTCTGAGATGTTGTTATCACTGTCGGTTTATCAAGTGTAACTGGAATACTGCATGGGTGAATGCTGCATTTTTCTTCCCCTGTCAGACCCTCATGGCCATAGCCGGAGCAGTCTTGCCATCATGTTTCAGCAACTCATCTTTCAGCAGCTCCTTGCATGAGCAGTAAAAAACTGTAGATGGTGTATATGAATCAGTACAACAAACTTTTTGCAAACTTTTTGCATCCAAATTGCAAACACATGCCAGCATAAATGACAAAAGTTCAAAGTTGTAGGAGTTTCAGTCTTGTGAAATTATTTGATGTCAAGGAACTGCGATGTGATGGAACTTGTCATCTGGAACGCCAGGTCGAGGCTTCATCTTTCAGGGTTGAAATATTTAGAATCAGAAAATGATACATTGCACCATGATGTGCCATCTAAAATGAACTTGTTTAACAGATAAAATAGAATATCAAGTCTGAAACAAATTTTGCAACCGCCACCCTCAGCACTTCTTTGTTGACTCGTGAATCCTTGAAACCGTAGACTCCGCTGCCATACTGATATTTCCAAACACGAAGTGGGGCATTGGCAGCACTGGGGCGTTTCATAGGAGGGCTGCTGCCAGAGACTGTGCATGGTGAGGCTGCTGGGCGCTTCAACACTGACTTCTTTCCTGCTTTGCTAGTATTTTCTTCTTCATTGTCAGTTGGGTCAACATTTTTGTCAGGTGTTTCCTTCTCTTCAGTTTCCTCCTCCTCAGTCTTCTTTTTTCTTGCCACTGTCTTTGTATTCTCACTCTTCTTTGGTCTGCCTGCTTTGCCTTTGGCTTTCGCCTTCGCCTTTGGCTTCCCTTTGGCCTTTGTTGCAGGTTTCTTCACTATGGGCTTGCTATTCTCACCGGCTGTTTCTTTTTTTTCTGTTGGCTGTGCTGGCTTTCGTCCTGGTTTCTTTCTCTCAGTTCCAGCTTTTGGGGCTGGCTCATCACATTGCTCGTCAGAAAGCGAATTAACATCAAAGAAATTCTGGACAAAAACATTGGCCAAACACCCAAAGCCAGGGTATCTGCAGCCAAACTGCTATGAACTATCAACATCACAAGAAACCTTTGGAGTTACATGCCATCAAACTTAAAACATGGTTTAATTGAGACGCTCAAATTGTGAAATTGTTTGCACATGCTGTCCAGATATCAGCAAATCTACAGCAGAAACAGCCTTTATTTTGTCCCACAAAGCGCCATAAAGCACGCTGTTTCTAAGTCAGAGTCAGAGAACAAAAATTGAATGCATTGTTTTGAATGATTCAATACACGCTGCTGCTCCTGCTGCTGCCGACCGATGGGCACACAATATTTTGTTTGTTACAATAAGACATGACATTAGCATCAACGAAACCCGTGGAATTGTAGAGTCAATTGCTTTGCCATACAACAGCTAGGGCATCAGCGTGAACAAATCCCAAACCCAATTTCTTCAAGACTTAGGACAACTTGTAAGCTGTCTTGGCCTTTAACATCAAGCTTGCGGTCAGTGAAATCTTGGGCTTCACCCCGACAATGCATGCCGGGGCTCCTCTGTCAACACGCACCCTACCTTAAAGAACAATGTAAACAAAACAACATGCGTATCAAACAAAAAGCAACATGCGACAAAGTGACAACACAGCCCAACAACTTAGGAAAACACATCCCAGGTCAACGCACAGTGTGCGTTTGCAGGCAACTTGGACACTTTGTTCTCTTTGAAGAAGACTGTCCCAAGTTGAGACGCACGAAGCTGGTGAAGGTCAGCATCTGCAGGCAATGGCTTAGGTTCGAAAGTGTGGACCCTTTGCTTCGGCTGGAGCTTGTATCTGAAATTCTGAACCTCTCCATTGTCCTGTGTCAAACATTGGAAGGGCTTGATACCACATAGCATCAAACATGTTGAAGCAAACATCGCACTAGCAAGCAATCACCTTGAGATACCTTGCGCAAGCCTTGAACAAGCAAGCACTTTAACACACCAGCATTGTCACCATGAGAATGCTGTTACTTTCAGCAGCATGGGTCGTTCAGCATTTGTTCCATATCATGGTCGGCCACCGTCACTGTCACTTGCATCACTCCCCGATTTGATGCCAGTTTGCACAAAAGGTCTGCAAGACACAGAACCTCCTTGCCATTGTTCGTGACCCAGTTGACCAATTGTGTATCCTTGTAGATCAGGAATGGCAGGGAAGCCGTTGGAGGTGCAGTTGCCACACACTTAGCATTGGCATCTTGGGTTGGAACATCACTAAAACATGTATGGAATTGTATGGATCATATTTGGTGCTAGATTAGCAATTACCTTGACAATCCTTCACCATATACGGTTTATTGAAGTACGTTTGTTGACAATACCGTGACTATGTTCTGAATATGACATTCTAATGCATTTTTTTAATCTACAGCATGTTGGTAGATCCATGTACAATTGCATCCTTGTATATAACACCTAGTGACAACATGTGAGAACATATCACTCAGCATGCAGCCGTGGCACCCAAGGCAATCTCTTTGAAATTGCCGACGTTGAAGCTCAGCAGTTCACCAGCTTCGACCTCAGCATCTGTGCCTGCATCGTTCACCATCCAAATCTCCAGCTCAACATTGATATACACCTTGATGGACGGTCCACGGGGATATGCAGCCATAGCCAAGATCCTTAGTCAGAACAGAACATGATATTGAACATATCAAGGGTAAAGGAAACAAGAGAAGTAAAGAGCAAGCAGCATATATTTGTTGAAGCTCAGGCATGCTCAAACAACACAAACAACTCAACAATATTGACAAGAAACTGTTGTGTGCTGCGGAAGTCTTGCTCTGGCACCGATGCCAAATCAACAACACGGCTCACGTCCAATGGCTTGTCATTGTCTTTGAACTCTGGCTGACATGATGTCCGATTTTGGCGGTTTGGGGTGCCAGCTGTGGCAGTCTGAGCTTTGAACAGTTGGAGTTGAAGCTGAGCTTTTCAACGCCCTCTTGACCACTGTTGTGTTGGCCTTTTTGACTTCGTTTTCCAAGACCTTGACCTTGGAAACATGCGCCGAATCCACATTGAATTGGGCTATCATCGCATCTGGAATCCTAAGTTTGACAGGCAGGCAGTAAAGAAACATAATACAATAAAGTAGTAAATCCAGGATCAGGAGGCCCAGCCTTGGGAGCGCAGGAAAATAAAATGTTGATGATCTTGTGATGTCATGTGATCATGTTGAAATGTGATATTTAAATCTTGCCAAGTAGCGATTGGGACCCATTCTGGTTCAAGTGCTGGACAACATCATTGGCAGCTTCCACCAAATCATCCACATGAAGGAAGCGTTGAGAGTGCTTCAGCAATGTGTTCACACGCTCCATCCCCTTTGCATACCTGTCCTGGAGGTACTTGACATCCACGCTGCCCTGTACGCAAAGCACAAGGCGAGGATGAGGAAACAATATGGAATGCAATTGTCAGTGATATCATTCTTAGATCATCTGAGACCAATATATACCCATATCATGCAACAAATGTCAAATAAATAAAATATGACAAACATTGACAACCAGCAAAGACACACACTAGACAAGAATGGATCATTATATGATCCGGCAGGAACTGAATCCTGAAACATGCAAATCTGATCCTGAATAGTTTCCACGTCCACGATCTTCAGCAAAATATTCCAAATACATCGGCGACATAGTCGGCGAAATAATCCAAATAATCGAAAATACAATCGGCGAAATAATCCAAATAATCGAAAATACAATCGGCGACATGATCTCGGCGAAAATACTGAGGAAGGTTCTGATGCATCAAAAACAGATTGTGGCAACCGTGAAGAAATAAAACTATAGTGTTTGGGGTTCTGAGCTTGGCCCCTTGCTATGTCAGAAAATGCAGGTACGTCATCCTGGCGTCCCAGAATGATTTCACACTTCTCAACAGGCGTCTTCGTTGGCCTGAGTCCTGTTGAGAAGCCTCAGGCCCCCTGCATTAGGTTTAAAAAGGGAGAGGACAGAAGGAAGAAAAAGAGAGAAGTTTTACATCTATTCAGATGTTACACACACACACCCGGCCAGAGCCGGGTCAACCCTGAAAGGCAAGAGGAAGAAAAAAGCGGACACACGAAGGGCAAAAGGCCAAAAACAGCGCAGGGGGGGGAGGGGAACAGACGGACCTCCGGAACCAACCTACACGGCGAAACGGACCTGACCAAAACAGCGCACACACCTAAACCCCACGACACATTACGGAGAGGCACGCGGGGAAATTAGGGACCAAATGGGGGACTAGTTGATGACAGACAGGAAAACCAAAACAATTAATTAAAAACAGGATTCAGTTCCTAAACCTAAAGGTCGTGCGTTGTGCCAATCCAGGCCCGTGTTCAAGTCAGCCACAGGGGCATATAACGGCTTTCAAGTTCCAGCGAATTAGGTGCACGATATGTTTCACCTCACCAGATAACCATCAAAAGAAAGAGGACCACACCTGGAAGTCGTGTGCCTGCCTGGTTCCTTTGTCATGGCATGATGCTGTGTCGCTGTGACATTGCTGCAAAAAAGGAGGTTTCTGAATGTTCAGCACGGCTTCACAGTCACAGAGGTGTATTCCACGAGGTTTCACAAGGGACCGCAGGATCAGCGGGACACTCAGAAAGCGGTGCAAAACGGAAAGAAACGAATTACCAACTTAAAATGTGTTAATTCGGCAGTCAGGACAGTCATCACTCACCCTAAAGAGGGTTGCCTCAAATGGCTCCATGGCACCATGTCGGAGCCACCGTGGAAATCACACTAGACAAGAATGGATCATTATATGATCCGGCAGGAACTGAATCCTGAAACATGCAAATCTGATCCTGAATAGTTTCCACGTCCACGATCTTCAGCAAAATATTCCAAATACATCGGCGACATAGTCGGCGAAATAATCCAAATAATCGAAAATACAATCGGCGAAATAATCCAAATAATCGAATATACAATCGGCGACATGATCTCGGCGAAAATACTGAGGAAGGTTCTGATGCATCAAAAACAGATTGTGGCAACCGTGAAGAAATAAAACTATAGTGTTTGGGGTTCTGAGCTTGGCCCCTTGCTATGTCAGAAAATGCAGGTACGTCATCCTGGCGTCCCAGAATGATTTCACACTTCTCAACAGGCGTCTTCGTTGGCCTGAGTCCTGTTGAGAAGCCTCAGGCCCCCTGCATTAGGTTTAAAAAGGGAGAGGACAGAAGGAAGAAAAAGAGAGAAGTTTTACATCTATTCAGATGTTACACACACACACACCCACCCCCAGAACAGCCTGCCGTGCAGAGTGTGAGTCAAACCGTTGGCTCCAAGATGAGATTACCTCAACGTCTTTCTCGATGTTGAGCTGTGCCTCCTCAAATTTCAGGGCTGCCATCTTCTTGGATAACCTGCGTGCTTTTGGAACATAATTGCAGCATACTGTCACTAGTATTCACTGACAGAAATCGTGAAACAACTCACTCGACAAACACGGCCTAGCAACTCCTCATCCCGTTGAGCTTGTGATGTTTGGGCCTCCCAGGAAACCAGTGCTAGTAATTGAGGCTGTATATTTATCAAATTTAGTTGTGACCTGCTATGCCAAAACTTTGATATCTGCACAAGCCTCCTTCTCATACTTGTTCAACGCAGCATTGAACAAAGATACTTTGGCAAGATCACACGGAGGGACAGTTGATTCCAACAAAGCTTGGAGCTGTGCGTCACCATGTTTGGCCATGAACCTTGTAGCACAGATTGCAATTATATACATTCACAAGACGCAAGTTTGCCCGGTGAAAGGTTTGTTCAACTCAGCATTATGCAACCAAGCATCCCTTTGTATATTCGATCGATCTCGGATTCGAAAAAAGTTTTCGGCACCTGCTTGAACCCATCCTTGCAGGCAAAGTACATCGCACAAGTGTGCTGCAGAAGTTCCTTACAGGACTCTGGGCTGGGCACTTGCAGGGTTCGAAATTAGTGAGCAAAAATTGAATAACATCGTGATTGACAACACTGTATTGTTCTTTGTCTGGATGCATCAATGTCTCAAGATCACGCAGTGCAATAGGTTTTCGCATTTTGGGGTTGAGGCTTTCATAGTCCGATTCCATTCTCTTACTGATTCTGGTCAGAAGTTCATCGTTGTTGCTCAGTTCATCCTTCCATGTAGCATATTGAGCTGTTCCACCTGTATAGCTAGAGTTCAGCATGCCGGCAGCCAAAGCATCATGCTGAATGACCCGATGCATGGAATGTTTCCTGGCCAGCGATCATTGCTCTTGCAGTTTTAGATTTTAGATGCCCGTTGCACAACGAAACTGAACAGTGTGCCAGTAAGTAAAGTGTCCTGGACAAATCGAACAATGTGTCAGCCACAATTCTTGGGGTGTTCCGGAACAAGTTCACAGCCGCTGTTGACTCACGTTCTCCAAGATCATATGCAGCTGCCAGTGTTGCCGCCGTTTGGGTCGCCTATAGTCACATCCAACAATTTGTGTGCAGGACATGTGTGTCGATTCAGCCCAAAAGCTTCAAGTATTGCAAGTGGGAACCCCGGCAAGATCCACAAGATCCAGCAAGTATGGCCTCCAAAGATTCCTCAGCACTCTTACCTGCACGTTCCAGAACCCTCAGTTGATGATATAGGTTCAGAGCATTTGGCCGACGACGTGTCGATGTGCTCTGAAGGGTAACACCTCAAGTATCATTAGGAGCAGCATCGCACCCCCAAAATTTTGCAAGCATGTACAACGACATGGAAAAATCACACAAGAACACAAAGTTGCAGTGACACTTGCCATGTTGTGCACACAATGTTGGTTTAAAATTTGCCAGCCCAGATACCACGGTTTGTTTGGACCACATCTTCCTTCCCTCTCACCGCTTGGCAGGTGCAGTATCTGGTGCGCAAGGACCTAGCGAACAGTGACCCAACACCAGCCGCAAACCTAGTGAGATCTAGTAAGTGCAAGTAGAAATCAGTGCTAGTATCAAAGTATTACAACTATGTTGGCACTCATGTACTAAGTGCCCAGGCTCGATCAGGGATGTAGGCATTGCCTTCCATGTGTGTTTGTTTTGCTTTGCAATGCTCTGCAAATACATGAGGTGTAAGTAGTATCAATAGCAAACTTATATGACATCCATTACCCCACCTGCCTTCATGAAATCCTCACATTCGAATGCACATAGTAGGATGAGGCTTGCTGTCAGGCTTCGTGTCCACCCCTTCACGTTGAAAGCACACATTGGTGGGGCCAGCCCTGCACTTGCCCCAAGATCTTGACTTGCAACTGTCCACAACCGTTCTTCATCTTTCTGAGGTGCAAAGCTGGAACACACTGCCAACTTCTCAGTTCCCGGAATATTGGGATCGGTTTGAAACCTCATCAGAAGGTGTGGCATCTAGAGGTGTTTGGCGACTGTTCATGTTGATGTACAGTGTTTGCACGTGTTACTGGTTGTTTTTGGTTTTGTCATTGCAATAAAGCACATTATGGTTGACATAATTCAGGCAGACAAGAGTCGAGTTCACACAAATCAGTTGCACCATGTTGAGAAGCACGTCCTAACATGCATGCACAGTTTGTTCACTATGTTGATTGTATGCTTGTAGCTACTGCTACTGCCACCAATATCTAGTTCAATCATCACTAACATGGACCCCCTGAGGTGCAAGCTGGATCACAATAGCCTCTCAGACCTGCGTGGGGTTCCCAGTTCAGCTGCCAGGGTCGGAGACAACAGGATCCGTTTGTAGTAGAGCTGCTGCGCTTGCATAGGACCTTGGCTGGCAAAATTAGGGCTACCATGGGTTACCAATCTGTGTTTGGCTGGTTGCCATTGCCAAAAAATGAAGTAAATTCACAGCTTTACATAGGGTTGCTACACACCACGCTCAGGGGGGAAGTTCTGTTCCACAAAGCTGTAGAAGTCAGCCACTTCAGCCTTCCAAAGTTTGAGATAACCAAAATGGGGAATAAACATGACTCCTTGCTCGTGGCCTGTGTTCGAACTGTGTCTACCAAGTACTTGTCCACGCTGCCATGACTGGCTGCCTTGCTTTGCCTTAGTAGTTTTGTGTAAAGACAGTTTGTATGTTTGTAGCCAAAAGCATCCAACAAATCTGTGTTTTCCAACATGCTGACGTTTGACAAAAACAAACCACCAGCAGTAAGGAAATGGATAAATACCTCATGTTCTGAGCAACCATTTGTGATTCAACTAAGATGCATCCACTTCTCCATGATCTTACTGTGGGGATTCCTTTGAAGAGCTTCTTGGCTAAGGCGTTGAAGCTCATCAGCAGTTTTCCTTGACTTGGCCGGAGGCTTGCTGACGCCACCTCCGTTGTTGACCCGCTTTTTGGGAGCCATACCTGCAAGAAGCACTGGAACACAGAAGCCAGCATTGAACATGTTTGGAATCCCACAAGTACAGTATTGAACTTTTGAGTAGTGAATTGAAGCCTCTTGGACGCTGCGCCAAACCAATCAGCCATCCACCGCTGACCTGCCATGCCCCAAAACAATACACCAAACTGTTTCGCAACACAACTCTAAAAATGTTGAAATCCCGAAAATCCTTGAGCATCCAGCAACTCTACTCCAACTTTTTTAGACTCAGAACTAATTAAGTTAGGTATCGAACTTCAAATTTTATTTGATATCTTGACATGACATGTCACAGCACATCAAGATTACCATTTCCCAGCACAAGCACCACATGGCCTGACAACCTGTGCAGATCTGTGCAGCAACAGCTTGAACTTCTGCAACAACCCCAACACATGTCTTATAACAAGCACCACGCTAAACTGTGACAGTTTTGCCACACTGTGGAATGGTGTTGTGACATTCTTGCCACTGTGGGTGGTGTTTTTGTGACGATCTTGCCCTTGTAGAATGGTGTTTTGTGACGATCTTGCCAAAGTAAAAGGATATTTTGTGACGATCTTGCCATAGTAAAAGGATATTTTGTGACGATCTTGCCCTTGTAGAATGGTGTTTTGCGACGATCTTGCCATAGTAAAAGGATATTTTGCGACGATCTTGCCATAGTAAAAGGATATTTCGTGACAATCTGGAACTGCTCAAAATCCCATTTGTGACGATTCTTAACTGATAGACATCTATTTTGTGACGATCTCAAGGTAGAGAAAGTAAATTTTGTGACGACTCTGAACTAGCCTTAAATGAATTTGAGACGATCTACTAATCTCAATGTGCACTTTTGTGACAACTTCGGCCCCGGCTCTTCACAAAACACCACCCATCCAGCTTAGTCTGAATTTGGACGAGCTGGGCCCCGGATCTTCACAAAATGATGGCTGCAAAAGCCATGGCGGTGACTAACGCAACCATGGCACCCCAACGCTTGTAGGTGACCTTTCAGAGCATAGCTATATGTGACGAGTAGGGCCCCAGATCTTCACAAAACTGGTATCTCATTGGGCCTTCAAATTTGTGAAGAGCAGACTCTTCTCAAACTATGATTGGTATATTAGGAGGGTTGAGAAACCTTGCCATTGTAAACTATGCCAGCTGACACAGGTCATGTTGAAAAATCTAGTCACTGACAAACTGATTGAGCCGTTTCATAGGCATCATTGGCTACATCATACGCTGATTCCCAATCAAGGCCTTTGGCGCACAACTTTGCCGCAGCCCTGTAAACCACGGAATGTGCATGTTGGGTTCTGTATCAGGCTATCTCAGCCCGATTCACGCTGTTGTTGCCCGCTTGCAGGTTCACTCTGGCAGGTACCTGACATGAAGCACAAGTACATTTAGGATGAGGAATGATATTTCAGAGTATGGTGCAGCTGGCATAAGTTAAGTTGTGATAAGCTAGGGGGTTTGTGACAGTAGCTGACGATTACAGGGTCACGGGCTCAAGGTTTTCCACCATATCAAGACCGCCAGTTTCAGCACCAGGCCCAACAGCAGGGCCGAATGCTGGCAAAGACCTAGGTGAACAAGTGCTGGTTCATAAGATCTCTAAAGTGAAAGAGCAGGATTGAGTTAATGAAATTGTTGCGTTGTAAAAAATCTGGGTTCCTAGCCAATTCACTTTCAAAGGCGGTTGCAAGTCCCAATTTCCAGTTGCCCACTGTGACAAACAATCAGCAGCCTGTGTCATACTGTAGGGATGTTGTCCTCAGTCAAATTGAAGGTATCTAAGACATCGTGAAATGTAATAGCATACAATTTTGACCTAAAGTGTTTGTAAACGAATTTGATTCACAAACTGAGATGCACACTCATCATGTTGGCAAACTTCAGCACATCTTCGTGGTTCCCAACAGGCTGAGCCAGGTCTGACCCCGCAACTGGCAAGAAGGATGGTAAGGATTTAGTTTGATCTCCTGAGCACAACATCACGGCCATGAAAAGTTGCACGACGACGGTGCCAGAACTTTGTGTTGATGGCATCATGCTGCACACCTGTCAACAAACAAAATGTTAAGATAACCGCAAATCTTAACCACAAACATAGCAGAAAAACATTGAGGAAACTTTAAATATTGTTCGTCACAAACCAACATAACATAACAGTGACACAACAAAACAAGACATAACAAGGTATGTAACGAGAAGGCCAGGGCACCCAAATCTTCAACTCTGTCCAGTGCAAACATATGAGGTGCAGATGGACCCCCGATTCCAACCATGGTGTTTCTGCGACAGTGCAAAGCCAAGTAGTTTTTCCCCAGGTACGGGTTTCAAAATGCTCCCCGAGAAAAAATCTATCGATATTTTGGCATCCAACAAACGATAGCACTGGATATTCTACTCATAGAAATGTAGGGAAACATTGCTAACAAAACCAAATGGAGGTACGTGATTGGTCCATGAGAACTACCTCATAGTGTGGCTCTTGGGGCCGCACATCATCACGCTGGAGATAGTCATCTAGCACGCTGACATAGTCAAAGGGGGTATGCAAACGATGGCCACCGTGTTTGATGACTGCCGACAAGTTTGCAAAAAAACTGTCAACATCTTCATGAGTGTGCCCGCTCATGAGTGTGCGGAATTCTGCTCTTTTGATTTTTCCTTGTCCTGTCAACATGGATAAGTATCGAACTACTGAGTTGTTCTTTATCTCCTTCGGCCCGTTGTCTCCTTGTACGAAGACCTCTGTTGCACGGAGGTCTTGTCCCCTTTCACGAAACCCTTCCAAAGTTCTGGCAAGGATGTCAACAGTCCTGTTGCTACCTGCAGAAAGTCCAGGCAAAGACAATGCCACCAAGAGATCATGACCATGAGCGATTGCAGCAGTAGCTGTAAGCTTTGGAGCAATAAAACGGTTGAATTCTTTGCATGTAGGGAATGATCTCGCGGCCAGACATATTTGCCAGACATCACAAATGAGTACAATAGTTGATGGTGAAGTACACCCCGAAAATGACCTGGCAATATTCCGGGAATGCCATTATGTAACACGATCATTGTACTGCTGCTCCCTGTGTCCGTCCAGGAGTTTCAACTGCATTTGTCTAGCCACTGTGCATTTTGCCAACTTTCTCACCATCAATTTGTATCTGACGCAAATGTTGCACTTGACATGAGCTGAATCTGAGCGCAGCTTGAGAAAGTCTCCAAAATTGAGCTCCCAAACCTACACAGGATACAAACGCCATAAACAAAAGCCGATGCACGAAAAAACAACAAACCAAATCAGCCACACTTGTAGCAAATCAAAAAGCTAAGAACTGAACAGAGCAAAACAACTTGTAGCTGAAGGTCCCTGTCGGGTGGGCCCTTCGGAGCATGGCTAGGTACTCATAGAACGACCCTGGTGGTTGAGCTTTCTCAATCAGCTGCGTTGTAGCAATCATTGTTTTGTCATCTCTCTTCTTCACTGTACGGGGTCGCTTCGATGCACCAGTTCCCTCTGGCATTGGTTCGGCCAAGGTCTCATAGAGGTGGTGAAGAAAATCATGAACAATTTGTCTTTTCTTTGAATTCAATTTGTTAGGGAACCTTTTCTTCACAAACCGCATATCCATTGGACAATCATCATCCCCTTTACGAACTGAATCAATCAATCTCAAGAATCGACCAGACCCCAGCCGCAGAAGTCGCTTGAAGGAATTCTGGCATACAGGGATGTCTAGCAAGGTCAACCTCTGAAGCTTGGACCCGGTGTATGTTGATCGAAGGCATGCCCATACCTGACAGGAATCTTGATGTTTGAATCACCGAAGTTTCATCACTGGCAACAACATATGAACCTATATATACATTGACAATTGTAAACTGACAACATGGGGCACCTCTTTATCGATCTCAAGCTTGTCCATACGAGCCAGTTTCCGCAAGTGGTCAATGAGCAAGCTGAATCTAGAAGACTCTCGGAATGGCAGGAAACAATTTTTCCCTTGGTTTTTCCCCTTCGAACACCGGCTTTTGCCCTGAACTATCGCCCTGGTTCTTGCTACCATTCTTCTTCAAGCCATATTCACCCACTTTCTCTACAGGACCGGTATTTTCCTTTGTGGAACTGCAGCCAAGTAGTCTGACTACCCGAGCCTTCTTCTGAACGGTTTTCTCAGTCGAACAACTAGGCCTCTTGGATGGAGCTCCCAAAACTGCCAAAGAAAAGACACCGCAGCAAGCAGTTTCTCACTTATTGTGATCACAATGACAAGACGACATACTGAGTGTTCAACAGATGCTCTGAGGCCCAAGGCACGACAATGTTTTCCCCGCTGCCGGGTTTCAACGGACACATGTCAATCAAATCTAGCTGAATTGGCTAGGCACAAGATATCTAATTGGCAACACACTGCTGCAATCTAAAAGAGCCAAGGGCTGCCCGGACTCAGTACATTCGATCCCACCTTCGAGTAGCATTTGAAGTCATAAGACCCACCTGAGACAAAGCATACACAGCAGAGCATATGCACCACAGTGGAAATAAACATTTACACAACATGTGATATAGGCACCTTGTAGGCAAGAAGCGTTGGATTTTTGTCCTTCTTCTCAATGATGTTCTTGATCCGACAGAATCCATTCAAATCCATATAGCCGTCATTCGATAAAAACAGAAATATGCTGAGGACATCTGATACCATAAGTTATGTATTATGAATCTATGCAACAGCACCTCTTCCAAAAGAAGGGAAGCCTCTGTGTTAATCACAGCTTTGATCTTGAGCTCCTTGGCCTGCAGTTGGTGTGCAAGTGTGTTGAGTATATTCATGCATGCATGATAACAATTTGAAGTTGAACAAATTGAACACATAGCATTGTACCTTCCACTCAATGACCACGGGGTCTTTTCCCTACAGGGCCAGCTACAGAAATAAAGCCAAACTTGAACAAACATACAGCAAAATGGTCGCCTCAAGGGCACAGCAAGCTTTTACACACAAAATCTTTTAGAGAAAAAAGTTTTGAAACAGAGAAGCTTTCTTGTACATAATGACAATAGGAATTGCAGCTCCAAAACCGGATGGATCTCGGCGCCAAAAAAAACGATTTTGAAGCACTTTTCGACAGGAATTTTACAAGGAAAATCACTAGCGCCAACATTGAAAAATCTTCTGACAAATCACTATCGCAGCCTTGATGCAGCCATTCCAATACGATTGACGTGCGAGACTTCCTTCAAAAACTGAAAGTGGAAGATGTGATCAAAAAGTGAAGTTTTAATCTTGGGGAAACTTCCCTCAAAAAGTTGAAGATGTGAAAGCGAAGCTTTCGTGCGAGACTTCCACTACAATGCGATCTGCAGACACTGTATTGCGAAACACCATAGAACTACGCGCAACGGCGTCGGAAATTGCAGCTCCACAACCGGATCTCGACGCCAAAGCGAAAATAAAAGGACCGGATAACCCTAAGCTTAATGTGAACTTCGGGGAGGTGTGAGAAGTGAGGTGTGAGAAGTGGACTTGTGATGTCAGGTGTGAGAAGTGGAGCTGTGATGAGTTGTGATGAGCAGTGGAGCTGTGATGAGTGAGGTGTGAGAAGTGGAGCTGTGATGAGTTTGTATGTGATAAGTTGTGATGAGTTGTTATGGGTTGTGATGAGAAGTTGTGATGTGATAAGTGGAGCTGTGATGAGTGGTATGAAAGGCAGCCGCGGCCCAGCGGCGGCCACGCGCGCCGCAGTTGCTCCAGGAAGCTCTGTGTGCTGCGCCTGCCAGACGAAAGGCAGCCGCGGCCCAGCGGCGGCCACGCGCGCCGCAGCTCCTCCAGGAAGCTATACTGCGCCTGAAAAGCGAAAGGCAGCCGCGGCCCAGCGGCAGCCACGCGCGCCGCAGTTGCTGCAGGAGGCTCTGTGTGCTGCGCCTGCCACAAGAAAGGCAGCCGCGGCCCAGCGGCGGCCACGCGCGCAGCAGCTCGTCCAGGAGGCTCTGTGTGCGGCACCTGCCACACAAAAGGCAGCCGCGGCCCAGCGGCGGCGCGCCGCAGCTCCTCCAGGAAGCTCTGTGTACTGCGCTTGCCAGACGAAAGGCACCAGCGGCGGCCACGCGCACCGCAGCTCCTCCAGAAGGCTCTGTGCGCTGCGCCTGCCATGCGAAAGGCAGCCGCGGCCCAGCGGCGGCCACGCGCGCCGCAGCTCCTCCAGGAAACTCTGTGTACTGTGCCTGCCACGCGAAAGGCAGCCGCGGCCCAGCGGCGGCCACGCGCGCCGCAGCTCCTCCTGGAGACTCTGTTTCCGGCGCCTGCCACGCGAAAGGCAGCCACTACCCAGCGGCGGCCACGCGCGCCGCAGCTTCTCCAGGAAGCTCTGTGTACTGCGCCTGCCACACGAAAGGCAGCCGCGGCCCAGCGAAGGCCACGTGCGCCGCAGCTCGTCCAGGAGGCTCTGTGCGCTGCGCTTGCCACGCGAAAGGCAGCCGCGGTTTAGCGGCGGCCACGCGCGCCGCAGCTCCTCCAGGAAGCTCTGTGTACTGCGCCTGCCACACGAATCCAGGAGGCTCTGTGTGCTGCGCCTGCCACGCGAAAGGCAGCCGTGAGTTGATGGTGAGAAGTAGAGCTGTTGAAGTCATTACGGATAAAGGCTGCGCACTTGCAAACCATATTTCGCAGGTCATCTGACTTTAACAGCGGATCGTCAAAAAACCATCTACGATTCCAAAGCTGACACATGCAGTGTATCTACAGTACACAGGTCTTGGCATGCTGTTGAAAACCATTTTCCTTCAACTGGAGTTGTGGTTATCAAGACGACTACCTTTACCAGGTACAGTTTAGCGTTCCCTTTTTTAGAAACAAGATCCCATGACCTGCAAGCCAAAGAGTCTGAGGATGCGGCGATAAAAACATCAATTGTGTTGTCCCTCCAAAACGGATGAGACAGAATGTTCCACATGGACCAGAGCACCTCGCGTCGACCACAAAAACTGCAAAAAAACAGTTGGGAGAATACGTGCAATATACAATCGGTCACACTCTCAAATCAACTTATTGCTACACTGCACTTTCTGACAAAAGCTTGGGCGACATGCAACATGGAAAGTCAGCTACAGCTGCGCTGCATAAAAAGAAGCTATCTTCATCCAGTCATCCAGTAAGGCACTGGCTGTCATCAACCAAAAGTGGCTGCTAATGAAGCCTTGCCTCACACAGCGGAAGTGGCGCAAATGCCACTGGGAAACAAGCGACCATTGGGAGGTCATGAGGTCATGGTACACTGTGGCACTTGCATGACCTGAGAGAAGTCGCGGTGCAGTTCGGGTATCGTCTACTAAGTTTTGCTTTCCATAGTCATGTTACTCATGCTACTCATGATGCAGATGTGGATAGATGCGGCAGATGCGGATACACAAAGATCAGCATTTCACCAGTCTGCCCCGTTCAGCACCGTCCCTGTGCCATCCTGTGCCTGTCAAGTGCCCAGTGCACACGGGGAGATCAATGAACTTGGCAGGCAGAAATCAGCACTTGATCAAGTTTGGTTTCAGCACAATGTATGAACGGCTGGTGAAAACTGGCAGATTCCACATTTCAAACTGGCTGTAGACTGAGAAAGGGACCAAGATTTGCATGCTGACAACTGGCATACATAGCCTCTCTTCCCTGAGGGTCTCTTGAATAAGAGTGCCAGAGCTGGAAAAAAGCGTGCAAAGCGTGCATCAAATTCCAAATCCTCCCACATGAAATTCATCCATGACTGAAGTGCCCCTCTCTGCGAACAATGAAAGCACATTTTGTTGTTTTCCTCGTTTTCCGTCTAGGATGAGAACTGACACTCGCCAAAAGCAATGGGAGCAAGCCTCGGCACAAATCCAGCAGGCACCAACTCTATTTTATGTATCATTCCTTCAGGTTGACTTGTTCAGCATATGACGCAAAAATGACGCTTGCCATTTCAATACAATACAACATGAAATAGCTGTGGCAGCTTTGTCCAATTTGAGACGGTAAGAACTGAGAGGCAAACATTACGAACAGGCAAAAGTTCTTGAGCAAAACCTGAGCTCCGAAACAAGAACGGCAGTGCAGAGCGTCAATCAAATCTTGACGTATCTTGAATATCGCCTGTGGGAGTGAATCAAGATTGCCAAATTGTAGTGGAAAAGCAGCCCAGCAGAAATTTGTCATTTTTCTCCTGGGATTGGTGCCATCAGCATTGAATTCCTGGCTGGACACAAGTGTAAGGCTGGTAGCAATGCAGCTTTCAGGTCACACTTCCCGACCAACTCCCGAAAAGCCGACCGCGGAACCTGAGGATGCGCTCCAACTGCGGTGTCATGGTGACCTGTCAAAACTGGAAAGTTATAGAAAAAGAACACAGATTGCATGTTGCATCGGTACATATTTTATGCACATGCTATACAGCGTACATGCTATACAGGTGATTAAGAAACATGTGCATATCGTGCATAGACATGTGTATATACAAACATGTTCGACTATATATATATATATATGTATATATATATGTATATGTGTATATAGTAATGTATAGAAACACGCATGTAAACATATACATAATCAAAGGAAGTTTAGTGGGAGAAACTTCCGTGTTACGGACTTTTAGAATGTCAGGGAAAGAGTTAGTCAAAGAAAGAGTTAGTCAAAGAAAGAGTTAGTCAAAGAAACAGTTAGTCAAAGAAAGAGTTAGTCAAAGAAAGAGTTAGTCAAAGAAAGAGTTAGTCATATTACATAATCAAAGGAAGTTTAGTGGGAGAGAGAAGAAGAAGAGAAAAACTCCGTGTTTACGGATTTTAGAAATGTCAGGAAAGAGTTAGTCAAAGAAAGAGTTAGTCAAAGAAAGAGTTAGTCAAAGAAACAGTTAGTCAGGGAAAGAGTTAGTCAAAGAAACAGTTAGTCAAAGAAACAGATAGTCAAAGAAAGAGTTAGTCAAAGAAAGAGTTAGTCAAAGAAAGAGTTAGTCAAAGAAACAGTAAGTCAAAGAAAGAGTTAGTCAAAGAAAGAGTTAGTCAAAGAAACAGTTAGTCAAAGAAAGAGTTAGTCAAAGAAAG